TGCGTGTGTGTGTTTGTGTGCAAGCTTGGTTTTTCTTTCTTCGAGAAAAAATTGTTCAGTGAGATTCGAACAGAATCCAACGCGAGAAACGTTGGTTTCATCCCATTCTTCCTCTCCTGCTCCTCCATTCCCTCACCCCCCCCCCTCCCGTCCCCGTTCAACAGCAAAGACTAGAGGTTATTATTTAAGACTCCTTCTAACCTCTGCTAATAAACATGTTAAACACAAGCTAATATCAACAGATCAGCAGAGGCACACAACAATTTTTATAAAGAACATACTGGAAAGCGATCAGAACGAAAAATTAAAAGTTAAAAACTTTTAAAAAAGAAGAAAAAATATTTAAAAAACAGCAGAAAAAAGCCTTAGACTGAATAACACCAACTTAAAAAATCGAAAAGATGGAGTAAAGAATGTGAGCTCGTTAGAAAGGGGAATCTCCAATGAACCAACCGACAAAGATAAGACTAATTGACACTTGTCTCATTAGAGAGATAAAACCCCCAAAATGCAAACATAATATTGTGTAACAGAGTTTGCTCTCGCGTAAAATGAAGTAAAACCGAGGACGAAAATAAATCACAGATCTACTCATATTTGGTGAGAGGTTTTTTTTTTGTTTGTCTTGTTTGTTTTTGTTGGGTTTTTTGTGGTGGGGTTGGGGAGGGCTAAAAAACCCTGAAAGAATGCCTACGCAACGTGGCGGGAAAGAAGAAAGAAAGAAGGAATGGCAACCTTTGAAAGAACAAAATTATTATTTTCTTGGAAGAAAACGTTTATTTTTTAAAGCATTACGGTTTGAACAGTAAAGAATACTTCTTTACAATTAGGGACACCATAAAACCAGAGACGTTTGCCTGAATACAAAAGGACAGAAAACGCCACAATTGTAAAAGCCTATACAGTAAAGATGTTGTGATTTCAGGAAAAAGAATACAATCATTTACCATAAACATGTCCTCCTCGTCCTGGAAGCAGTACCAGACATTGACCAAGAAGGCGTGCTCTACTTTCTTGAGGATATCTACCTCCCGTATAACGTTGGAGACAGCCTCCTGCTGAAGACAGGACGCTTTGTTCATGTACTTCATGGCGAACATCATCTTGGAGTCCTTCTTCTGCACTATACATACCTGAAAACAGACAAAAAACACAGGAATTTAACAACGACAGAAATCACAAGAGCTAGCAGTTCTTTGTGAAAACGATAACATTACTTTTAGATCTAGTAAAGTTTTACGGCACTTGCAACACAATAAGGTCATATAAGTGAGGAAGATTAGAGGTGTTACAAGAGAGCATCAAACACAAAAAAAGAAAGAGAGAGATCAGGACGATAGATGTTTGATAGAAAAGAAGGAGCATCCACCAACCAACCACTAATGTTAACCACTATGTTTTGGGGCAATTAAACAGGAGGGAAAAAGAAACAAAACAAACTAAAAAAACCCAAAACAACAGAGGACAAAGAAGACACAAAACACAAAGAGACCACAGATAAAACGTACTGCCATCTGATCTTTCATGGCTCATTTTCAAGCGGTATATCTTTGAAACTACCTTAAGCTTCGATTTGATTATTCTATTGTGTTGGCGCTTAAGAATGAATCAATTAAATCATCTGTGCTGAGAGAAACAAAATGTAACTGCACCCCCACTCCCTTTGACCCCCCCCCCCCTCCAAATCCATTCATAATCCAAAAATATCCCCTGTCTTTAATCATATACAAAATAATATAATCAGCAAAAATAAGAAAAGCAGACACTGCTTTTTCTGTATGAACAATAGAAAGAAGTTATCTGCATGTGAAGAACAAAAACGCGGTTGACGATTTAATAGCAAGAAACATGAAACGTGTTTGAAATTTTTGTTACTCTCAGAAACCACATGTGATTGTGACTACTTAAGGACCACTACCTCAAACAAATATTCACAAAACAAGGTACATTCCTTATCATAGCAGTTTCTCGGTGAGGCAATTGGTGCTTTGCGACCGGCAAACAGAGTATCCGAGATTTACATCCACTGGTTACGTATTCATGGAGTGTTTATTTAATGTAACATAATAATATAACCTCCACGGTGAAAGATTACGTTTGAACCCAAACTCCTTTCAGCAACAATTCGGTTCTCAAGAAGAGCTCACAGAAACCCCTGCTCTTCCTCACCTGTTACCTTTTTTTTTTCAACCCACAACCATTTTTTCAATAAACCTTGGGAGCAAAACTGCTAAGATTAAATAATCAATCTAAGAAAATAAGACCTTTAACCACTGACCGCATTTTAACAGACAAAAAAATCCACGGATTTGTGGCGTAATGAATAACGTCTGAAAGACTTAGACTAATGTTGAATCCAACCCATCAAACTTCTGTCTTGTACACTGGCTACCGCAAAGCCCTGCTCGTTCTGAGACTCAACTCAAGACAAAGGATGCTCAAATAATGAGGAGACATTATGCTGACTGCAGACAACAGAAACCTCGCCGTGACGTATTTCCAGATAAATAGCTTAACATAACGGGCCAGATCGGCTCAAGGCCGGAGAAAGAGGCTTAGTCTGAGATGGCCGGGACTTCAAGCTCCTTGTCTTCGGCGTAGAAGGAGTATGTCAGAGTCGAGACACTGCTTAGCGTGGTCTCCTATGTCAAGAAAGTGTCTGTTATTTCGACACGGCGTTGATTGGAAATGGGACTGGTCGCATTAAAAAATGATGGTTATGTTCAAATTAACGGACGGGGGGGAATTTCGAAAAGGAAGAAGACAGAAATGGCGAAAAAAAGATGCGTCATTTCAGGACAATGCAGGGGCAACGTCAAAATAAGACGTGGGGAGGCCGATGTTGCTCTGGAGGTTACGAGCTACATCGGACAAACAGGATGAAGAGCCATAAAAGCTACCTAACTAACCCCAGTGCAAGCACGCCCAGCTTGGGACTCGAATCAGGACCATTCGCATCATACTCTAGCTCGATAGGAACTAGAATATTGACGTCCCCGAGAGAGGCAGACACACACACACACAGAGAGAGAGAGA